CACTGTTTACTATAAAATTTTGGTCCCTGCCTTAGGTAATTTTTTTTTTTTGTATTAATGATGTTCAGTAACAAGGGATTCCTTTACTTCTTAATTGAGAGATGAAAGAATGTGAATTCCCTGGGCTTGCAAAGCAGAAGCCAGAAGTATCCAGCACATTTAGGAAATGAAGTATTATATATACCATAACTATTACAATTCATCATTTAATATTGTCTAACTCTGGCTTTTAATATGTCCACAGAAATGTGCATCTGTCACCACAACTAAATTTAGAATATTTCTGCTACTTCCAAAGGAAACCCCATACCACATCCCTGCTCCACAGTCAACCACTGCACCCTAGACACCACTGTTCTGGACATTCATATAAGTGGAACCATGCAGCGTATGGATTCCTGTGCTTGATTTCTTTCACTTAGCAAAGTGACTGCAAGGCTTATCCATATTGGAGGATGACATAGTATTTCATCTCTATTGCCAAACATTCCATTTTGTGACTATGCACCACGTTTTATATATTCATTAGTTGATGTGTATTTGGGTTGTTTCCACCAATTATTTCTTAACAGCTTTGTTGTTACATATTTTATACCATGAAATACGCCCATTTTAAGTGCACAGTTTGATGAATTTTAGGAAAGGTTTACATAAATGCAATCATAACCTCATTCAAGATTGAAAGGTTCCATCACTCCACTCCTTTGCCCACTATCCCCACTCCCACCCCTGGCCTCATGTTCGGTTTTGTGTCACTAGAGTTTTAATGACCTATTTTGTGTCACTCTAGCTTTGATTTTCTGAAAAGTTTCTGTAAATGGACTCGTGGTGTTTAGTCTTTTGTATCGTCCTTCTTCCCATTGACACGTTGTGCTTTGGAGATTCATCTGTGTCCTTGCATGTATTAATAATTCATTCCTTTCTGTTTTTGAGAAACTTGTCTCAGTCACTTTCTCATGTTGGAACAAAATACCCACCATCCACAGCTTAAAGGAGGAGAGGTTTATTTTAACTCACAGTTCAATTCAGCACTGGTAAAATCCAAAGAAAGAAGAGGATGGCAGCGGGGCGTGGTGGAGGAGAGGCGCTCATGGCATGGCAGAAGGGAAGCAGAGAGAATGAAGGGAGAAACTGGAGAGGAGCTGACTCTGCAGGTCACACCCCCACGGACTTACCTCTTCCACATTTAGCTAGAACGCTCTCGCGAGCCACTGAGTGACCTTTCAGAAGCCCCACCTCAGAGCCCCTGAGGCTTTGGGGGGACATCCAGATATAAACCATGACATATTCCACTTTATGGATAGAACATGTTTCTCTGGTAGGTGAAACTTAGATCTTTCCAATTGGGGGCTGTTATAAATGATGCTGCCATGAATGCTTACATACAAATCCTCTTGTACACACGTTTTCATTTTTCTTAGTCGTTACCTAGGAATTGAGTTCCTGAGTTATAACTGTGTTAGTTTTTAGAGACTATGTCCTTAATACTTGGATTTGTCAATCTTTGGATTATAGTAGTGTTTCATTTGGGATTTAATTTGTATTTCCCTAATGACTAATGATGCTATACAGTGTACAGATAGAACAAAGCATCTTTGGTTAATATTTTCTAAGTATTCTTTTTGATGCTATTCTGAATAGAGAGCTTTAAAATTTATCTTTTGATAGTTCTTTGTAGTCTGTAGAAAAACTATTTTTGTGTAATCTTGTGTCCGGTGACATTACTAAACTTATATTTTGTTTCTGTTCTCTAGCTTTTTCCTACATTACATAGGATTTTCTATACATAAGGTCATGTTTTCTGTGAGTCAAGGCAGAATTCATCTTTTTCAGCAGTATGATTTTGCTCACTTTTCTATTTCTTCATTTACTTTATTAGCTAGGATCTTCAGTGTAACATTGGATAGAATTAGTAAGATTTGACATTTTGTTTTGTTCCTGTCTTAGAAGGCAATCGCTTAGTTTTTATTGTTAAGAGAGCTGTTACCTGTAGGTTTTATTAGGTGCCCTTTGGCAAGTTCAGGGCCTTTCCTTCCGTTCCCAGTTTGTTGAATGTTTTTATAAATATGGGTAGGGTCTTGTCATTTTTATGTATCTTTGATATGGTTATGTAACCTCTTTTATCATGTAGTATATTACATTAAATTGTTATCAATAGTTAAGTCAAATTCACATTTCTAGGGTAAACCCCATTTGATCTCAGACATTAAAACAAATGAACTTATTTCTAAAATGAACCCTAATTGATCATTATTGTATTTATGAGTTGCTGAATTTGATTTGCCAACATTTTGTAGTTTTTAGACTACATTCATTAAGAATATTTGACTCTAGTTTTTTTAAAAAATATTGTCTTTGCATGGCTTTTATTAGGATAAAATTGAGTTTAAAAGGATTCTCTCATCTGTACTCTAAAGATTTTTTTTTTTTTTGGTACCAGGGATTGATCTCAGGTCCTTGTGCTTGCGAGGCAGGCAGCAGAACCACTGAGCTAAATCCCCGGCCCTCTAAAGATTTTTATACAGGATTGATCTTATTGGTGTCATAAATCATTGACAGATGGACCATTGAACCTATCTTTGAGCCTGGACTTCACTTAGTGGAAATTTTAAATTACTAATCACTTTGCTTGGCATGGGCCTATAGTTTTCTTTTCTTTTTTTTTTTTTATTGATTTTTGGTCTTTTAAAGAATGTATTCATTTAAACTAAATTGTTAAATTTGTTGTTTTAAGAGTTTTCGTAATAGTCCCTTATTCTTTTAATTTCTTTTTGATCATTTGTATCTCCCTCACATTTTGGTTTGACTAGCTAAAGGTGTATTACTTTTCTTGGCTTTCTCCAAAAAGCCAAGTCCTTGGTTTCATTGATTTACTCTAGTGAGATTTGTTTCCTGTTTAATTTATTTTTTTGCTGTGCTCTTTATTTCTTTCTTAACATTTTATTTTACATTTGATTTGTTCTTCTTTTTTCTATCTTCTAAAGATAACTTTGGTTAATGACTTTAGGCATTTAATACTTTATAAAATGAGCATTTAAAGCAGTTTTCTTCTAACTACTTTTATAGCTGTATTCCATAAATTTTTATATATTCTGATTTATTTTCATTTAATTCAACCCAGGATATTTTCTAATTTCACTTTTGATTTCATAAGCTGGAATTAAGATATTCACTTACTATATATTTAGTATTTTCTACTTTTATTTTTATTATCTCTACTTTTAAAATGCATTAGAAATTGTTTTATTTCTAATTGTGCAATTTCTAATCATATTTTAATTATGCTCTGACCAGAGAATATATTTTGCATGATTTTATTTCTTTCAACTTTATTGGAATCTGCTTTATATCCTAGTTTTATGGTCTGATAAGTGGAAAGAATGAACTTCACTATTTTGGAGTTAAGCATTTTATAAGTTTATTAAGTAGGGCAAGTTGGTTAATGAGAGTTGTTGGAGTCTTACATATCCTTACTAATTTTCTATTTACTTATTTTATGAATTACTCAGAAATTTTGAACTCCCCAAGTATAGTTAAGTATTTTTATATCAGTTATGTCAGTTTTTCCTTCACACACTTGTTCTGTTTTAGGCAAATATACTTTTATAATTTTTAAATGACCTGAACTAACATATCTTCATACAGATTTGCCTTTTCTATTCCTTATGTAAATCCTATTTTGTCTTATAGTAATACAGTCATTGTAGTTCCCTTATTCATACTTGTGTGGCATAAATTCTTCAGCCTCTTTTTGTGTTTGGCCTTGTAATTTCTCTTGTTAACTCCATGTATCTTTCTTTTTAATCCAGTCTGCTATTAGTGTGAATCTCATTCATATTTAATATAGTTATCGATGTGGTTGGATTTTGACCTGTTTTATTTGTTCTATCTCATTTCTTTGTTTTTATCCCTCTGTTACTTCTTTATTGTTTTCATTTGATGCTTAACAAACCCTGATTATTATATTATTTATTTAATTCCTCGACAGATTTTCTTTGCCTTTGTGCCTCCGTTCCTCCCTCTTTCCTTTCCTCTCTCCTTCCTTTCCTACCCTTCCTTTCTTCCTTCATTCCTTTTTACTTTCTCTTCATTTTCATTGCTGGGTTATTGAATCCAGGGCCTTATGCATGCTAGATAAGTGCTTTATCACTGAGCAACGTCCCCAGCCCTATCTGTAAACTTTTAAACTGTATATTTCTTTGATTTTCTTTCAATGATGTATTTGCACTGGAGTTTATAATATGTATATTTTAATGCATCATTATTTACTTCAGGTTAGGCTTGTTTAATTCTAGTGAAACACAGCAGTTCTTTTATACATGTTACTCCATTTCCTCCCCACTGTCAGTAACCTTTATGAGCCTGAGATTTTACCCTACTTGAAAGTTAGCAAAGCACCCTACCACAATTCAGTGGATTCTGATGGAGGGCTGATGGTTCCTGCTCAGAAACAAAGAATAATGTATTGCAGCAATAGCATCAGCCAGACCATCATGCCCTGTACTGGTTCCTGGAGCCCTAATTCCCACAATGTGACACAGCAAGGGCAAAATCTAATATAGTTCACTAGAGCATGATTCATGGTTTTGTCAACAGGATAGTGGGAAAATGGATGTTCTCAAAAGTAAGTTTGTGAAATTGTGCAACTATATTTACCTTATATACATGTACAATATCCATTATTATATTAAAAGCTCTTGGAGATCTTACAGAAAAGTAAGCTATTTAATTTTCTTTGAAGTAAGAGTTACCAAAATTATTTCAATCATAAAATGCAGAAGTGTTCTACATTACTCACTTTGACAAGCACTGGTCTAGTAAATAAGAGAATAAAATATAAGCCGCTTCTTTTTAAGTAAATTAAGAAATTTACTGTTTTTGTAATAAAATGAGTGTTGCCCTTCCTGATGTCTTTGAGCTGTTTAGCATACTTCTGTTGTGTAAGTGATTGGAATCAAGTACGCACCATATTCATCTGTGGACTCTGTTTCTGTCCATAGGCGATGTGCTCAACCTCGGTGACAGACAGCTCACAGTCATGCACATGCCGGGTCACTCCAGGGGCAGCATTTGCTTACACGACAAAGATCGGAAGATTCTCTTCAGTGGGGATGTGGTCTATGACGGCTCCCTGATTGACTGGCTCCCATATAGCAGGATAAGCGACTATGTGGGCACTTGCGAACGTCTGATAGAGTTAGTGGACAGAGGCCTGGTGGAGAAGGTGCTTCCTGGGCACTTTAACACCTTTGGTGCAGAAAGGCTTTTTCGATTGGCTTCTAACTATATTTCAAAAGCTGGCATATGTCACAAAGTATCTACTTTTGCCGTGCGATCCCTTGCAAGTTTAGCCTTACGTGTCACAAATTCGAGGACCTCACCCTAGTATCTACACTGTACTCTACTTTAACTAACTGTATAAGTTAACCCAATTCATTGTGTGCTGTTCAAAATGGTTAACACAAGCATCTCAAGAAGTGCTTTTATACCACTATTGTGTGTTACAGAAAAAAAGATTGAGAATGATAAGCCAAAAAAGGGAAAAGTCAGTTTTTTCCTTTAAATAAGAAACCACTTAAATAAGCTTATAATTTGCCAACATTGTCATTTTGTAATATTTGCTCTAAAAATGCCATAAGAGTAGGTAGAAAAGCAAGAAGGCATTTTATAGCAAGTAAAATAATTTTTCTTGCCCACTTTTCTTATTTCCTAGGTCACTGAGGAAAAAAGGCATATGGAGTTTTATGCTTATACTCTAATCTTGGTTTTTTACTTTATTATTTAAAGATAATAAAGTTCCTTGGGTTGCAGATGTACATTGGAACTCAATACTAACAAACTAACATTTAGAATGACAAGTAAAACATCCCATGGTATGGTCCTCAATCTTTAATGCTTCCTTTAATTTATTATTTATGTAATTATAGCATACATTATATGCTGTGTAATTTAACTCATGAAAAATATAATAAATTTGTTTTATTGTAAAGCTTTAAATATAAATTGCAGAATGCTTCAGTAAAAAGCTACTATATATTGTCTGTTATGTAATATTTTCAATGCTAAAAGTAAAATTCAAATATATGTAATCTAGCTGCATATTGTCAGATTTCTCAAAAGGACACTGTCAGGCAAATTTGAAAATATACACATTGAGGATAATTTTTTATTATATCCTATTTTAATATTAACAGCTTATTATAAACAAAATTCTCTTGTTAATAGCAACTTCAGTATTGTGTCATGTTTTACAGAACTATAGAAATCTATGACATCTTGATATAAACCATTCTTTTACTTAATATTTTTATGTATCACAAAAGGATTTTCAAATTAATTGCAAAGTGTGCATTAAATATTGACTTAGAGCGAATTGCCTTTCTTATCCTGATTCACAACACCTCTTCCTGTTCAGTATTCTTTGTTTCAAATGAAAACAAATCTACATTCATAAAATCATAGGAAAAGTTAAATTACTATTTAGTAAAATGTTTTGGATTGGTGCTCTTAATAATAATTTATTTAAAATTCTTTTTGGAATATTTCATAAAAGTTTTTAAACTGTTTTCCACTACTTTTCTAATTGTTGACATGTCTAAAACCAAATAGTATAGCTTTGGAAATTAGATCTTTCAGTATTAGGAAGGTCCAACAATTTTGATTTCTGTCAAATTATGTAACCTTTTCTACCCTACAGACACCTAGATTCTTTAGGTTTTTAAAATTCATTTAGTGCACGCACACATACCCCACATACGTACATGCATGGCACTGCGATAAACACTGTGGAAGCTTCAAAAGTCAGAGACATTGTGGCTGGAAGTTGAAGGCACACACAACATGAGTGGTTATATATGCAAGTAGAATTTAAAAATACATGAGTAAGGTGCACAAAGGGATGGGTGTGAAGCTTGGTTAGAGAAGATATTCTGGAGGAGTTTTTGGTTCTGAAACGGAACAATGATTTCTTCAGTGTCAGGGCAGGAAAGACTCAAGAATAGGGAATTAGGAATTACGGTATAGAGTAGTTCATTCCTTGTGACCATATAAATTTAAATTTTAGGAATCCCTGTTACAAGCACCATGTATTCAGCATGAAAAAGATTGGTTTGTGATTGTTTATACATGTCATCCCTAATGACAGCTAATGCTGAACTGCCATGTGACACCTAAGGAACCTTTACTTAGAATCAGAAAGGAGGCTCTGATCGGTTCAGGTACAGAATCCCATGGGAGTTCTCTAGGATGGTCACTCAAGGCAGTTGGTCAGTTTCAACTGATAGTGCAACATCCAGAATATAGATTTGGTTCAGGGCAACTGCAATCACTTAATGAGCCTTAAATATAGCCATTATTTTTATATTAGTAGCACAAAAGAAAACCAAAAGTCCTTAACCACTGGCCATTTTATCATATTTTAGGAATTTATTTTAAATCAGGGTATTGTAGGCATTAAGTTTTATTAGGAAATATTGACTCCTGCTGAGGGATTTCCATGTTTATTAAAAGTGCAACTTTTTTCAGAACACATTGGCATTATTTTTTCCTCATTTTTTCAATTTTTCAAATTATAATACAACATAAGACTTGATATTTTGCTGTTGCTACGATGTGGATAAAATAAAAATAAGTTGGAGGAAGGATATCATTGAGTACCCATATTGTACATTTTGAATATGCATTCTTTAACGTAATCCTTATCCCAGCACCAAGAGGTGATAAAGCAGCCTCATACAACAGGACTGGGGGCAAAACTGGTAACTGAATACAAGTCCGTTTGCTCCCAGACTGTTTTTTCTCTTATACCTGCACAACACTTAAAATTGGCAAAGTGTATTTTTACTTTCCAAGATGCCACATGTGCCAAGAATAAATCAAATGATGCTAAAGCTCACACATTTAAAAATAACTTTTAAATATATATTTTCACCCTGACAGTGACCCTTGTTAAAATTTATGATTTTTGGAAATATTAGTATGTAAGTATAATTCAAAGTTGTCAAAATGTAAGGCATTTAGGAATAACATCATTAGTAATTAATCTTTGGACATTCATTTTCCTTATGTGATGTCTCCTTTTAACTGAGAAGTTTAAAACAAAACCTTGTGTATTATCCTAATGTATTTAAATCAATGATTATGTGTATTTGTTCTTATATGGATAGTAATATGAATGTGACATGCACAAATTGTCCTCTTATAATTTCAAATAAGTGTGAGTACTTGTGTGATAAATATTAAAGTTGACATTTATTTCAATCTGATTCATACTTTTTATAATAGCAGGTTTCCATTTATTTCTTAGAAGGATATTTTGTTATGAGATGAAGTTTTGAGTGTTCATAATAGTAAATGTCAAATCTATGGGAAAGAATACAAAACTCAAAAACTAATAAGCCACCAGTACTTAATAAATAAGGCATTTCAAGTCAGTTGATAAAAGATGGACTATTCAATAAATATTACACTTTTTGATGTGGGGAAAAAAGGGGTTATGCCATTATAAAAATAAATTCCAAATGGATTAAACACCTAAATGTGAAGACAGAATTGCATGTGAATTGAAAGAAAAATCATGGGTCCTTTAGGACAGGAAAGATTTGATTTGTACAGAAACAAAAAGCACAATTACAATGAAGTTATTAATGCCTTAGAATTTAGATGACAGAGAAAAGAAACTAGGAGAAAATACAACTTACTTAACAAAAGAAAAAGCAAATATGAAGAATGCTTTCAAATCGTTAAGAAAATCAACTGCTATAAGGGAAGAAACATCTTTCCTACCCCCTCTTAGGTTCTGTGGCTGGGCCTGAGAATTGCACTGACAAAGGACAAATTAACAAGAGAAAAGCATAGAAGTTTTACCTTATGTTAATATTTTTACATGTACACAGAAAGCTTCATTTGAAATGACCCACAGAAGGAAGAGGCCTGAGTTTCTATACCATTTTAACAAACAATGATAAATTGTGAGGGTGTGACAAGACAATGGGACAGGGAATTTCAGCTAGGGTAGTAAATTGTGAGAAAGTGAATAGGAAATGTATGGAAAACAGTAGATGTGGTAATGTATTCGGTTTTCTAGAGGAACAAAGTCAATTAGATTTATTAGATTGCCTCACACAGCGATTGGAAGTCCCACAGTGGCTGGCTGAAGGCTGGAGAAACAAGGAAACCAGTAGCTGCTAAACTCAAGAAGCTGGGAACCTCAGAACAACAGGGAGCAGTGATGCAGCCCAGTCTTAGGCTGAAGGTTGAGAAGTCCCCTGGAGAAAGGCTTGTGGGAGTCTACATTCAAAGGCTGAAGAATCTGGAGTCTCATGTCCATGCAAAAAATGCACAGGACGAAGAATCAGCTTGCGTGCAAGCTTCTCTCTTCTGCTTTTTGTTCCAGGCTGAAACCCAGCCTATTGGACAGTGCTGCCTACATTCAGGCAGGCCTTCTACCTCAATGTGCTGACCACCCTATGCCAGTTGTATCTGGACACAACCGCACAGACACTCGGAAGTGTGCTTCACCCATTTTCTAGGCAGCTCCTAATCCACTCGAGTGAGATTGATCACCACTGCAGCTTTGTTCTACAGATGCAACTTGGTGTCGAGTCCCCATTTCGGTGATGAGAGTGTCTTTACCTGGCATGAAGAAGGCATCTCTCTTCTGAGAAATTTTATGCTCTGCTTTTAGGAATGAAAGCAAGAGGTCAAAGAGACCTTATGCACAGCCTTTGCTCATTTGTCTTTAACTCAATCAGTATGCGGAAGTAGCATATTCTGATCCTCACTACTTGTTAAAATGGCTAAATTATATGAACAGGTTATTTTATTCACCCAAGAGGAAACGCAAAAGAGTAGTAAACAAAATAATACTGAACATCACTATTGATTAGGAAATGGCAAATTAAGAGTGAACTGGTTTAACTAGACCGAGAAATTTTGGGAACACGGAGTGTTGTTAAATGGATGTTTCATGAGTGTGTCAGGAGTACAAACTGATCCAGTGGGACATTTTTTGGGTGTGACTTGGAATATTCAGCCTTGGGGTTAAGAATGGCAGTTTGAACTCTCAAGATGATAGAAAAAAGGCATTTTTAAAATGGCACAAAGGAAAAATAAGAATGGTAAAGGAGACAACAGCAACAGCAGCTTTGAACAGGAAAGCTCATGGGAAAATTGAAAACTGATTTGGTAAACTCAAGAAATCTGGAAACCAAGCCAAGCGTGAGAAAAGCTGGGTAATGATCTTACAGTGACAATCTCCCTAAAAGACTTAGAAATTTTTAGTACCTTCTAGGAGTGATAGTGTCTTTTTGAGTCAAATTCTGTTTGCAGTTTAGGCCATAAAGCCCTCCCTAATTCTATACTATTAAGCAATCTCCTTTCTTGTATGTGATAGAGAGAACTGTAAATAGTCCGAAACCTACAAAATGTTAAAAAATATAGAATAACCGCTGCCCTTTGCTTCTGTAATTTGCTTTGCTTTGCTTGTTTAACAAAACACCCAAGGTTTCACCATTGAAGCTTAAAGGCACGTAGCCCCAGTTTAAAATTAGCAGATGCCAGAGGTGCTAAGCTGCATCCCAAGATGAGACTAAATGTTCAAACTGAGCTAACCGTCCCAGAGCCATAAAACTTCCTGTAAACCATAAGACTATAAAGGTGATAAGATGAAAGGAATGTCATCAGTCCCGCTTTCCTAACCCTGACACCCACTCTCTTGGGCTGTAATAGCTAAAAGGTAAACATCCTGAAAGAAAATGCTACACTTGGATTAACACTGTACTGTCTTGTGACCATGATTTGTGATGGGAACTGGGAAGTAGAATGTCTTATCACTTAAAATGAGGTCATGATTGCAGAACTCTTAAAAGACAGATTGTCACCCAGTGCAGGGTCAGTCATTTGGCACAGCTCTTGGTGCAGGCCGATCCTTTCCTAGAAAAGTAGTTTTTTTTTTTTAAACCCACTCCTGCGTCTCTGTATGTGTCATTTACCAGTTCCTTCCACAACATCCGTACCTTGGGGAATTTGAATTAGATTTGCCTGAAAATTTTCAAAGCCCTGGAAGGGCTCTGAAATATGTGTTCACATGGTCATTTAAAAAAAATTGTAACAGTTATTTTTGTATTCTCTCAAGGTCCCTAAATCACATAAATTTGAAGCCTTACTAAACTGGGGGTCTGCCCCTGTCTGTAGGATTATCATGTGGAAGTGTCACCAAGCTGGTTCAGAGAATCCTGAAGGTGAGATAAGGAACTTAACCTTTCCTTCTGTGGCAAGTGTGCTGACTTTTGGCACAGAAAAAGTGTTTTGGGCACATCAGTAAGAGGTTTGGGACACGTTTATTTGATGTAGGGTACACTCAAGAGCGGATTGTGGGCTCTCCAGGCAATGATGTTTTTTCTTTTCATACCAGGGATTAAACTCGGGTCCTTGTGCTTGTAAGGCAGGTGGTAGAATCACTGAGCTAAATCCCCTGCCCTGATCCAAGAAATGAGACACATTTCAGTCTGGAACTGGTGTTTATTCCTCTTGTGAAGGGGTGGAAAAGTCCAAGAAAAGGTGATCCACCCTTCCCACCAAAGGGTATTAAAACCCATCCTTTAGGTTTTTTTTCTTTCATTCTTTTAATAGGCAATTTGAATGTTCTCTGGTTTCCCTCAACCTCCTCTTTTTTCTTGGGATCAGGCCCCTGTTTTTTATATTTTTAATTAAACCAACTTATGGACTTTCAATATTTTTGAGAAATATGGGGGGAGACGGGTCTGGTACGGAAGGTGTCTAAATTTAACAGTATGTATCATCTTGGGTAACTTTGCTGATTCCTAAAAGGCGTGGTCTTAAAAGTCTGATTTTTTGGTGTCTTTTAAAAAAATCTATCTTTCATTTCTTTTACCTCAGGAGGATAAAGCAAAGTATCCTATGTTGACTTTGTATTACTGTAACAAATGCTCGAGGTAATTAGCTTATAAACAGGGAAGGGGTGTTTTGGCCTAGAGTTTGGGAGGTGTAAGTGCTGCTAGGTCCTTTCACCTCGTGGTTGGGAAGTGAAAAGGAGAGGAGGGACTGGCCTCCCACGACAGAGGACAGCAAGGGGAGCACAGAGCGGCTCAGACACGGGGGTCTGTTACTGTGGACAAATGACTTCCTAAGGGCTGTCAGACTGGAGGACACTCAGCTTCTCCTGGGTTCAATTTCTATATGCTTTGTGGGAAGTTCCTAGACTTGTCCATGTGTTTACCTCTCCTTCTAAGTGTTAACTTCAGTAAACCACTGATCCACATGACTAAAATATGGTTCTGATGGCTTTTTCTGTATTTGTTAGAAGTCTCACAGCATTTTCTTCAGTGATATAAGGGAACACTTCCTTGTTTATAGCCATAACTTCTGTTATCTTAAAAAATGCTCACTTGCCACAGCTGCATTATTTGAATCTAACACTTAGCTATGGAATTTTATGTAAATATAGATGTTCAGGATCTATACCAGACATAGTCTTTTCACTGAATATATTCCTAATGTACTAGGTATAACGTCTGAAATCTAGATGTCGCCCCAAAACTTCATGTACTTGTAGGTGGGGCTTTTTGGAGCTGGCTGGATCTAGGTTATGATCCTGAGATTAAAGGTGTGTGGTGTAAAATTAGGCTACTATCTGGAGTTAGCATAGTCCTGGGTATGGGTGAGTGGATTTACGGAAGATGCCCCACCCTGAGTATGGGTAGCACCTCTCGAAAAAGCTTGTAGCCTGGATGGGATAGAAGAGAAACACAGGCTTGTTGCCTGCCTGCTGCTGCTGCTTGCTTCTTCCTGCCTGCCACATCATGGACTGTTTCCCCTCCGTGATGCCACCTGGCCTTGGAATCATTGGATTATGGAGTAAAACCTCTACAAATTGTGAGCTGAAATAAACCTTTCCTCCTTTAATTTTGGGTGCCAGGTATTTTGTCGCACTAACAAAAAAAGCAATTAAGACACTAAGTACAGTGTATTATTTCTCCAAATTACTATATCTTTCAAGATTTTTTCCTGTTATAAAAGTATGTTTATTTTTGTGGATCAGATGTAACATTCACTACCTTTTATGAAAATAACATTAATCATTATCCTTAAATACATTTTTACCTTTTTAACCAATGCATATTAGACACAAACAATAATAAATTTTGTTTGGGAATGTTCATACGTGCATATAATA